CGTGGTGTAATCAGAACGAAGAAAAAACCTTCGTGTGGACTGATAGAGATACTGGTATTGGTCGTTTACGACAGAGTAGTGGCAAAGGTACAATTTCTCTTTCTTAAAAGCTACCTACAATTTTTTTCTCCACAGGTTCGCGTCTTGTTATTTCTGCGTTGATGGGTAATGCAGGTTTTCATAGATCATCTATTGATACATTTGAATCCACTGAAGATAATCGTAGGACTCATCACATTTTTGGCATGGATTGATGGTACTGCTTCTCTTCTTCGAAAAGAATTCGGTAATAATCACTTGTTTTTATTTCTACTGCTACGTTTCAGTTTAGGAATATATACTAAAATCGTTTTGGTAATTGATAATGCTCCATGGCATAATCGACTTACAAATGATACGATGCCACCAAAAAGATCGTGGAAGAATATATTATACAATGGCTCAATACTCATAATATGGATGTTCCTGGTAAAGCTGTCAAAGCTGAATTACTTGACATTGCTATAAAAAATCTACCAGAAAAACGATATGAAACTGATGAAGCAGTTAAGAAATACAATGTTGATATCTTGCGGTAAGTCATTAACTTTATAGCTGTCTTCAATCTTATACATAGTATTTACAGTTTACCTATTAAACATTGTTTGCTCAATCCGGTGGAGTTGGCATGGGCAGGTCTGAAGCAGTATGTACGAGATAACAATGTTAATTTTCGGTTAAGCGATGTTCGACACTTAGCACAAGAATGGATGTTGAACTTGAAAACAGCTACAGTTACGGCTTATCTCAATCACGTTTACAATGTCGAGGAAATGTTCAAGAAATCCGATGCTTTCACAGAACAACTCCAAGAAGACTTATTAGATGATGATAACCATGATGAACTGGATTTCGAGATTGAAGAAATGACGGATTAATAAATAAAATTTTTTTCGTTGTTGTTTTTTGTTACCAACTATTGATTGGAGAATAACTACATATCTAATCCAATATACTAAAGAGATATTCAACATGTAGGACTATGTTGTATCATTACAGTTTGCGACGAAGATATTAAATCTGTGATGTAATATAATTAGCACTGACTTTACATGACAAAGAACGACTTTGTTACACTACGAATAGTTTTGTTTGATTCAGAATGATCGAAAACCTATAGACATCGCATTATGAATACTTAAAAAGCCAGCAAAAAAAGGACGTTTCAAGCGTTTTTGACCAACAGTGTGAGGCGTATAATTTTTGAACGGAACAAAATAAAAATTTCGGATTTGTGTAAAATTGTAGATCTTGAGCTGGCAAATCTAATGCGCTAATTACAATTGAAATTCCATACAACTTTTATAGCACTTTTAATACTTCTTTGAATTTTATTGACTGCTCATCAGAATAGAATTACAAAGCAGATATTGACGTCTTAATAAGAGTTGTCATCCATGTTCTTTAAAATTGCTAGACTATAACAACAATTAAGAATAGTTTTATTCAAAAAATAATTTTAATATCTGTGTATGAGAATTATATCTCATTTCTACTATTAATTTTGGTTATTTGAATTCAAAAATGGATTTTGATTATGGAATATAGTCTATTTCCAAATCGAAATGAAGAAACTTTGAATTAAAATAAACATAATCGATATATTAAAAAAAATATTTTTTTTATATTGAGATTATTTTCAATTTGTTTTTAGATTTCAATTATTTTTCCAATACAAAGTAATTTTTCCTACATGTTCACAATCAAAATTTTTCGTTTAGAAAAAAAATTATCTATCCTTATTTAAATAACTTTGATTTCATGATAAATATTTTTTTATTTATATCACAACTTGAAAAACCTGAGTAAAACTGTGTTAAACAGCATCTCAGAATGTATGTCCACATAAAGGGTTTGATCATTCGATCACATAGTTCAATCGATTGTACGATAGATAAATTATATATTGTATGCACGTTTGAATCTAACTTTCTCCTTATATTTCTATCGTTTAGACTAGTTCGGACTAGACTACCACATAAGCCATAATCTTTAACATGCAGCGGCACGAGCACCCTTTTTTTTTAATTTAAAATCTATTTTGAACGAGTGTCCGGATGGTGCAACAGGCCTAGTCATTTTACGAATTTCGAGCTAGTCCTGTAATAGGACTTTTTGAGAAGAACACTTGACTTGGCATATAGTCACGACTAAAAAAAACAGAACTAGTCTTTTCATCTGTTCTTTGCTCTCTTCGAAATTTTAGAAGTTTTCGTATTTTAAAAAGACAGCAAGTGTTGAGATTTCTATTTTTAGTAGTCAATCTGTGACATGTTACAGAGTCTAGTAGAAGATATATTCCATCCGTATTACTTGGAATTCTGAAGAGAGTATACCTCGATCATCATCATTGTCTTGAAGTTTCTACTTTGGAATTACTCTTTAATAATTAACAGTTATGTAAAATACTTAAATAAAAGGATTAATACGTTCTCTTATGAATGATGTACATTAGATAAAGTACAATTATTTTGTGAGGTATTTTTCTGCCTTGAAGAATTCAGATATGAGATGTCGGAACGAAAACATTTGTTGTATCTGTTGTCTAATTTTAGCATTTTTTTTTGAATAATCGAAATTATGGTTTCAACATTGGAAGGTTGAAAAAATATCAGTGCGGGATATAATTGTCATGAACTATACTGAAAAAGTTTTTTGGATATGGATGGATCGATTCTGCTACCCATTTAAAAAAATAGGCGGGTAGGTATTCTTTCAATAACTTTTGATAGAAACAAGATAGAGAGCTGCAGTTTTCACTGTTGGAAAGAGGCAATGAAATTGCATCGATTTATGTATTTCAGATTTTTTTCTGGCAAGTATTTTAAGGGTTCCTCGACAAGTTTTCAAAAGACAAAACGTTACATCATGTGAATATTATGGACTTTTAATTTTCAGGGGGGCACTAGAATGACTAACGAAAGTTGTATCAGTTATATAAACGCGACATTATTATCTTTAGCTAATCATGAGTTTTGAATATGTTACTGTGAGTTTTCGGCTGATTTTTAGAGAAAAAATCGTTTTTTTTCTTAGTCTTTAATAAAAAATTCATTTTTTTCCACGTCTAAAATCCTTGATTTTTTAAAAAAATTCGCGAGAAAACCTTTAAAATACTTGTCAAAAAAAAATCTGAAATACACAAATCGATGTAGTTTCATCACCTCTTTCCAAACGGTGAAAACCGCAGCTTTCTATGTTGTTCCTATCAAAAGTTATTCAAAGAATACCCATCCGCCTTTTTTTTTGAAATGGGCAGTAGTTTCATTAAATATAGTTTTGCTACATGTTTTGGTCGTTTGTTGTACAGTTAATTTTTATTTCATTCAAGTGATGAAAAGAAAGTGATGCATTTTTTCAGTTTAGTAAAACATTATAAATTCAAAATTAATTGAATATATTACTAGGATTTTTGGAATGTGATACCAATGACATAATTGAATAAAGTTGATTCATATTTCAAATATTCACATGCAAAGGTTTTTTAAATATTTGATGTGGTTGTAGACTCGCGAACTCTATTCTTGCGATAGATCATTTGTTGTTATAATGTGTTATTTGCTAAGAACAGAAGCACTCTAGATAAGTATTTTTCTTCCGAAGAAAATAAAATATGAAATCAAGATAAAAGCACATGTGATATTATTTCTTCCCATGATACAATTTACTATCTAAGGTAATAAAACAGAGTTGCATTCTTTAAAAAAAATTTGCATGAATTATTTTTTTCATAAGTAACAAACAAACAAACCATTATGAAATTTGAAAGTTTACCAAATGACATATTCTTGCATTGTTTTGAATATCTCAATGCTCCAGACATATTCTACGCATTCGAACAATTAAATCCTCGATTTTATCGATTAATTCGAACGATTCCATTACGTCTCAATTTTGAAGATATTAACAAATCAATCTTTGATCGATTTTGTGAGAAAATGTTAGATTATACAGAAATTCAACAACAAATCTATTCATTAAAACTATCAAATGAACAAGCATATTGTCAAATTCAAGCATTCTTCACGTACTTCTCATTGGTTGAATTCACTCGACTTCGATCATTAACTTTAATTGAGATCAAAGAAAATGATATAGAACAATTATCATCAACATTACCATTACTCTCACAATTAATGTGCCTTCGATTGATTCCTTCTCTATCAGTTTTTTATACACTCCTCGATAAACTTCCAAAATGCAAACCAAACATATTGTCAACACCNGGACGAGATTAGTGAGAACCTATGGTAAGTATATTGTTTTCTTTTTCTATCTTTGAACAAGTAAAATTTTCTTGTTGAGGTCAATAGTGATACTTTGCAAAGGTTCCCACTAACCTTGTCCATATGGATTTGAAATGTGAACATGCCTCTATCCTTGGTAAAAAAATGAGCCCGTTTGGTCGAGTTGTAATGAAGATATTCAACTTTTTCTTTGTGGAGTTACTTACTGAACACCCTATATATTAGAAATAGAACTAGATAAGAACGATTAACATCTTTGGCTTAAATAAATTGAGAAATAAATGCGAAAACATCGGATTTACATCCGAATGTTATGTGTACTTCAAAAAGTGAAAGGGTATTTTTATAATCTGATAAATATCTAGACTATTTGCTTTCTCAACTGTAGTTTTTCTGCAGCTCGAGACCTTTTTCGGTGGATGTTTTGTTAGAAAGCTACGATTTGGTTAAAAATTAATATCAGATTCGGAATCACCTATAAAAACTGAGTCGATCTATATATCTTGTGAAGAATTCTGAGAAAAAAAATTTTTTTTTGAAAAAATCCCTGTACCTCTCCTCAGGGATGGTCAAATCAATAATGACAATTTTTTCGATAACTCAGCCATTTCTTGACAGATCCTGCTCATCTTCGAACTCGACCGAGATATTGTTAAGACTGAACTGTACAGAAAATTTCATCGTGATCGGACTCTCCTTTCGAAATTTATCATGTAAACGGCCGGACATACTGACCGATTCTAGAGTGTATGAACTTTTTGAGTACACAAAAAGGTTATTGAACTGATATCAATGCTATTGTAACCGATTCTATGTAAAGAAAAGATTTTCGAAAAAAAAAAGAACTGTACAGAATTCTTGAGCGAGAATTCATTTCTTTTTCTACTAATAATACATATTTACGTAAACACTTAAAAGTATTTAAACAGTCAAAAATGAAAGAGGATTATTATACTTATAGTTCTTTCAAAAAGAGAAAAATTCTTTAAATATTCAGGCATTTTTTATATGAGTATTCAAGTCTCACATCCAATGATCGGTGAACGAAAGAAAATTAAAAAAATAAAAGACATGACTCTTTGCTAACTCATTTTGAATAAACTATTTTCTAAAAAAAGTGTTGGATTATTAGAAGACGTTTAAGTTGCTCTCTAATGAATCAACACACAAAATCCTAATATTATGACTTTGAAAACTCAAATTTAAAAAACAAAACTACTACTGCTGAATCATTCATTATTTCGAAGGCGGAACCAGTTTTCCTAGTGATCCGTCTCGAATATATAGGAAGATATAGAATCTAAAAAGTGACACTTTCATAGGATTCCGATAAAAATATAGGAAATATATAGGATGGTTTTTTCTTCAGTAAGAGGCCTTTTAAGAGGTTCACCATACATTACTTTATTCCTGAGATCGTAAACAGCTCTGAGTCGAAGTTGTCAGGATATCAAAAACGAAAGCGTCTCTCAATTCCCAAAAAAAGGGATTTAACAAAAGTTCACTGCAAAAAAACGATTAAATCTGTTTGATTAATTAACAACTATGGACTGATATTCTTACAAAAAAAAACAATATAAAATAGAAGCAATAAAAATATATATGAAAAAAGCTTGAAATTATTTCTATCACCAGCTTGTACTTTCTTTTTTTCTAAATTTATTGAGATTTAAAAAGTTAAAAAACTGTATAAACAATTACACACAAAAAATATAAACGGACTACAGGAAAAAAATCTATTTTAATTAAAACTAGTGGCGAAATCAGATATGTCAGTATGCTGAAATTTAGCTTTAGAGTACAGGATCTAAATGAAACTTGATAAAGGTTGATATTAGTTCCAAATAATCACTTTCTATCAAAAGATTTTTTCGATGAACGTTTGTGAAAAAAAAGGATATGGATGTGAGGTGTAAGTTGAAAGAAGATGAACATCCACACCCTAGTTTCTCTATTATTGTCTTTCGTGATAATATTCGTTGCAGTTTTCTATGACATGCATTACAGATTGAGTTTTTAAGTGGAATGTAGAAGTATTGCTCCTCCTCAGATCATCGATAACAATAGCGGTGTAAGAGCGCCGCTGCTTTGCAGAAAAGTTTCTGTCTCATTTTTAGTTACTTCTCTTACCTCTTAGTTAATATTATGTCGGCGTCTTTCTTACTTATAAATGGTCATAGAAGAAAAAATTTTTTTTCCAACGAACCAAATGTATGTTGTTCAAATCAATCCCTCTGTTAACATTTATTCCCAATAAAAGAACGAGTAGCGTGATTGCGACATGGTACTGAAAGCTTTCCCAAATATTTTACTCGTAAGATTACCACATCTATAATCGAAATGAACACACTCTTCTTTAGTGTTTCTCAATGAACCCCTAGAGCACAGCACACTCCTATCGTTTCACGAAACCGACCATTGCAGACATAAAAAAGTAATTCTGGAAAGTGAAAGCCGAATATTTTGCCAATCATCAAAAGAAGAGTTCATGAACATATGTTCACAAAAGTCACTATAACAAGTATTCTACATAGAATCAAAAGCTACTAGAGGAACGCATATCTCAGAGAACTGCTCTCAAGGAAAGAATGGGACATACATGCCTATTCTCATAAAAAAGAACTGGTTTATGAACTCTGTTCATTAAAAAGAGCCAGCTCAAAGAATTGGTAGCTGTCGCAGATCTATTCTTCCATACATTATCACTTTTATTATGGAGCTCACTTATATTTTCGAAGAAACTAGTGAGTAGAAATTTTAAAGCGAGATTTTCTGCTTTTCCATCTCTCAATTAAAATAAATTTAAAACACATGACTAGTCTGTAATTTGCCGAGTGTTTGTAGAAAGTTAAACCTTTCACTTGAACATCCTTTTTGTACCGTCTTTACTTTGGTTTTGTTCATCATTAAAATCAAGATACAATTAGCAGTTATTTAGCAACTGCGTGACCACAGTATTTCATTTCTAGCTCTATAGAAGAACGACATTCTTCAAAAATCCATCCTTTTAAGTAGGTACTCCAGACTCTATAATATAAACGAGCACTCGATCATGCTATTTCATGAGATGATTTGTTATAGAATATTTAACACTTTCAAGAACACCGAAAATAACAGGTTGTGAGTGTGGATATCTGTTAAACAAACACATCCACACACATTCTCTCAGAATGTATGTTCACATACATGGGTTTGATCATTGAATCACATAGTTCAATCCATTGTACGATAGACAAATTATGTAGTCTATCCACGTTCGACTCTAACCTTTCGCTCATATTTCTATCGTTTAGTTCAGTTCGGACTAGACCATAATCTGTAACCTGCAGTATTACAGATGCTCTTTCTTTTTTAATTTAAACTTGGCATATAGTCAAGACTTAAAACAAAAATAAGAACTAATCTTTTCATCTGTTCTTTGCCCTTTTGGAAATTTTTGGAAGTTTTGATATTTTAAAAAGACAGCAAATGTTGAGATATCTGCTCTCAGTAGTCAATCTGTCACATGTTACAGAGTCGAGTACAACATGTATTCCATCTGTATTACTTGGAATTCAGAAGAAAGTATACCTTGATCACCATCATTGTCTTGAAGCGTCTTCAAGTTAGAATTACTGTTTAATAGTTACCTAAATAAAAGGATTAAAATGTTCGCGTATGAATGATGTATATTAGATAAAGTACAATTATTTTGTGAGATATTTTTCAGCCTTGAAAAATTCCGATATGAGATGTCGAAACGAAAATATTTGTTGTAACTGTTGTCTAATTTACCATTTTTATTAATGATCAACATTGTGATTTCAACATTGAAAGATTGGAAAAATACCAGTATGTGATATAATTGTCATGAACTATACTGGAAAAATTTTCTGAATACAAATGGATCGATTCAAGTTTCATTAAATATAGTTTTGCTACATGTTTTGATCATTTGTTGCACAGTTACCTTTTATTTTATTCATGTGATAAAAAGAAAATTAGGCATTTTTTCAATTAAGTAACACATTATAAATTTAAAATTAATTGAATATATTCGTAGGATTTTTGGAATGTGATACCAAAGACGTAATTGAATAAAGTTGACCCATATTTCAAATATGTGATGCGTTTGTAGACTCCCGAACTCTATTCTTGCGATATATCATTTGTTGTTATAATGTGTTATTTGCCAAGAACAGCAGTACTCTATATTCATATTTCTTTTTCTTCCGAAGCAAATAAAATTTTAAATCAAGATAAAAGAACATGTGATATTATTTCTTTCTATGACACAATTTTTTTTATAAGGTAATAAAAAAGAAAATTTGCATCATTTGAAAAAACTTTTCATGACTTCTTTAGTCATAAATAACAAACAAACTATTATGAAATTCGAAAATTTACCAAATGAGATATTCTTGCATTGTTTTGAATATCTCAATGCTCCAGATATATTCTATGCATTCGAACAATTAAATCCTCGATTCTATCGATTAATTCGAACGATTCCATTACGTCTCAATTTTGAAGATATTAACAAATCAATCTTTGATCGTTTTTGTGAAAAAATGTTAGATTATACAGAAATTCAACAACAAATCTATTCATTAAAACTATCAAATGAACAAGCATATTGTCAAATACAAGCATTCTTTACATATTTTTCATTGATTGAATTCATTCAACTTCGATCATTAACTTTGATTGAGATTAAAGAAAATGATATAGAACAATTATCATCAATATTACCATTACTCTCACAACTAACATGTGTTCGATTAATTCCTTCTCTAACAGTTTTAGATACACTCCATCATAAACTTCCAAAATGCAAACCAAATATATTGTTAACATCATCAATGAGTTCTATATTAACATCTCAAGAAATTATACCACTTACAAAGTTGTTCATAAGATTTGGTAGAATGAATCACATATATCAAATGTTACTAAATATGCCATTATTAGAATATCTAAATATTTCAAGAGCTCTTCATTTTGAATCAGAATCATCTATTGACATAAGTCAACTTCATGGTCGTGTTAATTATCTAAAATATTTAAATGTGTCTGATTGTATGGTTAATGCAGATAATTTGATAGATGCCATTGGACGTATGATCAACTTACGAAGTTTAATAGTCTCTGTATATGATAATTCTGATATAATCGATGCTTTTCGTTGGAAACATCTAATCATATCTTCATTACCACATTTAACTGTATTTCGATTTAGGTTTGGTACTTTAGATCGAAATGAAATAATTAGAAAATATGAAGATTTTCAAACGGATTTTTGGATTAAAGAACATCAATGGTATACAGAATGTTTATTAGGAGAACAAATTTTATCACAAATTTTTACAATTCCTTATCTAAATGATACAAGACCAATGTGTTTAAAATATGTTCGACACTTTTATACACGTATTGATCATTCAAAGACGTTTGATAATGTTACAGATTTATATTTAACAAGTGAAGAACTAATGACATTAAATGGCTTTTATTTTCCTAATATTCGATCATTGATTATTCATTCTTTACCTGTATTTGCTAATGAAAGTAATGAAGAAAGATTCATTAGATCTCTAAAAAGAATAATGAATTTATCAAATGTAAAACATTTAGAAATTCCATTATGTTCTCAAACAACAGGATCAACAATTTTGTTAATGATTCTTAAAGAAGCACCAAACTTATCATCCCTCAATATTTTCAATTGTTCCATAGATATATTGAAAAATAATAAGGAAATTTGTCAATATACCAATAACATGATTAAAAAATTACAGTTTTGTGTATATTCTCAAACAAATCCATGTCAAAAACCGAATGATGTCAATTCAATTCATAAAGTATTTTCAAATGTTGAACAAATGACTTGTCATAAGACCCAATCTGATTCATGTTTATTCTTATTAAATAATTTATCTAAATTATCAACATTGACCATTCATTTTTATCAGTCGATAAATGACAGTTCTTTCAGTAAAGTTAAAGAAGAATTATCAAAATTAAAGAATATATTTTTTTATGAGGAAATACTACGCGATATAAAACATGTTAAGCTAATGGCGTTTGGTTTTTGGGTTAGTCGTGACGACATAAATACGTAAATACGTAACAGATCTTTTTTTAAGTCAGTCAACTTTAGAAATATTGTTGAAGAATTATCAACTGTAAACCATAAATAAACACACTAGTGTCACTATCAGAAATAGGTTATTAATGGAGATACTTTCATCTCGTTTACCTTTAGTTATAGCTATTCTCACATCCATGTAGTGTGCTTCGCTTACTTCTTCATATGCAAGCTGCCAGTCAGTTGTATATAAAAAAAAGAAATGACATTTCAATAATAAATATTAAAGTCCTGAAAATCTTGAACTTCAAACTTAGAATGAATATATACAATTCTATTTTATTTCGAAATAGCCATTAATCAACATAGTGCATTTTCTGAATAATTTTTGTGAGCAACATAGATCTCTTTCTTTATAATAGTACCATACTCTATTTCACTAAAAATTTATTAAGAAAAAGTATATCAAGATTGATATGATGTGGATAAAGAACATGGCAAAGAAGTTCTTCTTGTTGAACGATTCTAACAGAGAATAAAATTTGAACAAATACTATTAATAACTTAAATTGATTAATGTAGTCTGTTTTATCAATGAATTGTGTCCATAGAGAATATTATCTTACTGTTTGATAAAGTTCAATGATCAACTAGCAAAGTCTAACTACTCCATCCATCGGTCATTCAACAAGACCCATGAAACCCGTTTTTTAAACCTTTAAAAAAATCCAAATGCTTCATAAGTTTTTACTCTTTCAATTGATTTTTTCACAACATCTTTAAAGTCAAGGAATAAATAAATTTCAAAATCAAATATAGAAAAAAAGCCTTGACAAACCTTGAAAGCACTTTTCCAACCGCAAGTACATGTGAATCCATATAATCTTCACCAAATGTTCATGTTGCTGAGGGTGGGTGTGGGTGTGGGTGTGGGTGTGGGTGTGGGTGTAGGGTGTGGATGTGAGTGCGGGTGGGTGTTGATAGCTTCTTTTTAATTTACACCCACACCCACACCCTTTCACGTAGCGCAGTGTTCGTCACACGGTATAGAAAACTGGCTCTAGTAAATAGGTGAACACAACATTTCGATACGTCTTTTATGGTCAACCAATTACACATTTTCAATTCTCTCACTAAATGTGTTGCTTCAATTTCTTTTCCAACTAAACGTCCCTCAATTAATATGCCTTCAATCGCCTTCCTTACACACTTTCTCGCATTAGATAAACAATGTTTGCCAACTTTTGATTGCATCCATTGCATAATAAACGGACTCCATTCATTTTTTTGTCCGTAACTATGTGAAGTGGACGAAATTAGTGGTAGTGCCTCGGAAAATCGCTCCTGAAGAAGATATCTATGTTCATTTTTGCTTTTAATCATACATTTAATCAACTGTTGTCTGGTATTGCCCAACTTATTCACCTGCACCATTTGGCTAAAGTCAATAAGATAATCATCTAATTCTACAAACGACGTCATGCCTGATCTTTGCTGAAAAGCGTGCTCAATTATTTCATTCTCAATGTCAGAATATAACATCCAATGGTCTTGTCCATCAATACCTGGTACAACATTCTCGTTTCTTTTGAAATACCACATCGTAATAGTTCGTGACATCTAGCTCAAAAAGAACTAAAACTCCACACCAATTCGAATTATTAGACAAAGTAAGTTTACTCGTCTTTCATTGATTGTTTGTTCATAATTCAAATTCAATGATGATGGATGAACATCATCACATTCATTATCATCGAAAAAATCTGGATCATATGAATATGTGACATTTCTGACACTATCATACGGAATCCATTGTTCTTTATCATGATAATACAGTACGTCATTTTCATCTACACCGAAAAGTTTAGGACCAGCATATAAGGTTTGATAATATCGAGCAGTTTGGCTCGAAAGCTCATCAGTATGACGATCAAATTCCAATTTGAGACGCTCCCATGTCCGTTTAACACCAATAACATATACAGACACCAGTGTCATTGAGGCATCGAATATAAAACTACACATATTGCTTTCGTTTTCTTTCTTATCGTTGTTATCCATTGAAGGAAAGTTGATACTGTGAATTCGCAATGAAAATCGAAAAGTTCCAAATCAAGTAAATTTTTGAAAAGAACACCTTGAAAACAGAACCAAAGCACTACAGAAGAAACAAAACACAATAAAGAACACTACACTGGCGAATTTCTAGAACTAAAAGCAAGTGCAGATTTTCACTATAAGTTTTTTTTTAACGAAGTAATCGTTCTTTTCATTAACGTTGGAAGCGATTGACATAGAATGCATGGGCCTACGTTTCAGTTTTTATTGTTCATGATGTTACTACTTTCTAATAATCTCAACTATTTATTATCCAACCATTTGAATGGTATCACATATGTACTATCTTCCTTGGTTTTTTTTTGCGAGGGAAAGTGATTTTCCTACTATTTCATCAGTAATAAAACTATGTAACGTCACATCCCAATAACAGTTACAATGTTGGATGTCAAAAGCAACCTTTATGCTTGAGGGTGTGGAGCTTTTCTTTGTATACACCCACACCCTCGAAAACAGGTATTTTCATGCTTAATTTATATTCATTCAGCATATGAAAAGCCATGTTATTCGATATCTTGCAAATTCTATAATTCTTCAAGAAAAAGATCAGATGATGTAAAATTTTTTATGGAGGATAGAGCTAGAGCCAGGCTACATTCTGGTGTCGTTTGAGCCTATATTGCTATAGAAACTATGGGAGTAATTTATCGAAAAAGATATTCGTTTGTGAAAACACATAGAATAATTTGCCCCTCACAATGCCTCACATATAGCTAGATGCTCTCCGCACCGCTCTATCGAATGACCAAAAACCGAACTCGATAGATATCAATAGTGAAGGGTCTTTCAAAAAATGGCGACTCGCATTTTTCAAAAAATTCGACAATAGTGCTTCTAATATTCTATCTTCAATGCAACTCATCCTTTCAGTAGAAGATTAGCAGCGTTTGTGCTGCGTTACCTGCTTGATAATATATTCAGTACTGGAAACAGTACTAAATGCATTGAAAATTGCTAGATGCAGTACTGAAATATTGATGGACCAAGGGTGTGGGTGTGGTTTTGGGCGAGAGTACGGATAAAAACCAGACCTACACCGACACTCACACCATAAGCAGTGATTAGGATTGTTCATTCTTAATTTTATCATCATTTTAGGATTTTTCTGAATAAGAAAACTCCTTTTTGTCACCTTATACAGAGTTCCTCCAACTCAACTACGCATATGTGTAACTATATGTGAAAAAAATGATACAATCTATACGTCGGTATATGGCAACCTATGTGTTGAGGGTTTTTTTGAAAACTATCATAGAAAAATGAACTATTAGCATTTCTTTGACAAAAATGTGCAATTTCTTTGAAACATTTTAATCATATTCAATACTGCTATAAAAATTTGAATTTTAGCAAAAAGAAACCGGAACTCAAAGGGTTTAATTGTTGATATGCTTGATTCACAGTACGACTATATTAAAATCAAAGTATGATAAATGAAAATCCTTTACACCTTAAATTTCAGAAAAGAAGCTAGAGAGTTTTACCTACCATTATGTATTTTTCTAGCATTCAAAAATTTATTATCTAAATAGAGTCAGGAAATCGGGAACATCTTTCATGCAGAAAATATTGAGTTATGGATGTTTACACCGAAAATTAATGTACTTTCTAAAAAGTAAATGGGATGGTCGCTAGATGAAAAACTAAATTAAATACAATGAAATACGATGAAATAATCAAACGTCTATGGCAATTAGCATGTGCTAGATCATTTTTATACCATCTTGTATATGCAGTACATTCGATTTCAACTTTGGCATTTGCTGGTAATGATTGGACAGCCAAAGTTGTCCGAGCTGGATAGTCATCATTTGAAAGAAAAAATGAAGCATAAATTTGATTCATTAATTGATAGTCATTCATATCAGTTAAAAGAACAACACATCGTGCAATTTGATTCAAATCTGATCCAGCTGCATGTAATATAGTTTGTATATTGTGCAATGCTTGTTTCGTTTGATTTTGAATGTCGTCTGATACTAGTTGGTTTGTTATAGGATCAATTCCAATTTGACCACTCAAATAAACGATATGATTGATTTGGATAGCTGGATTATATGGTACAAAATATCTTGGAGCATTCTAAGCAGAATTCAAAAAATTCATGTATCACAACTAACAATAGATTGAAACTTTTACTTACTGGTATCACTATGACTTTCCTCTTAACATCATAGGTCACTGATTTCTCTTGAGTGGTGACTTCTGTTGATTTATCTGATGTAGCATCGATGCAGCTTGGATTGAGAAGATGAAGAAAAACAACAAATAGAATAGTAATTGTTTTCATTCTAACAGAGAAATGACATTTCACACAGTTGAGTGTTATAGAGTTTTGAATCTCTAGATCTTTTGAGTATGACAATAGAACTCTAACTTTAGAAGGTATCTTGATTGATTATATTCAATGTTCATTTCTAAACGAGAGAACTTACATAATTTATTTCACAGCTAGATTATGGTTCTTGTTCCGATACAACAATACTATAAAATTTGATTTCAGTCTGGTTTTAATCTTATTCCAAACGTCGCACACTATATCGAATTTGTTGGATAAATAAGCTCTTATACAATCATTGTTTTCGATCTAGTTTTTTTTTTATTTCTTCTTCTCTATTAAAGATCGACATAGTGAGATATGATTGCCTTGTCCTTTCATAGTTATAAAACATACATCTAACCTATCATATCCTTTAACAATCGATCTATCTTGTATGTAATAAAATGTACAAATGAAGAATGCAAAGGTAAGAATGATGTTACGCTTGTAAACAAGCAATCATTTCTCCTGGACCGGAACTTCGAGTATTGTGCAAAAGAAAATGTAATATAAGTTGACTAGATCAAGAGAAAGAGTGGATTTGAATAAATTATATAGCTCAAACAATAATCAAAAATGGATATCAGTATATTGCAATATTTTAAAACATGTAAAGCTATGTAATTATCAGTTGATCTTTGTTATCTGTTTGATTATTGGTCTCCATTGATCGCTTACTATTTAAACCGAATGGAATCTTCAAAAAAACAAAGTTGTATCATGGCGAGTTCTTCTACACTAAATTCGTACAGTTGTGTGTTTTTTTTTATTCGAAATATCAAATTTTCATGAGTGGATCGCGATAGAATAGTTGTTCATCCTATATACAATGATATCATCAAATATCTTGCTACCATGAACGTGCTACTCAGAGTTCTTGACGATTTAGTTTTGGTGAAATTGGAAATTCAGATATGGACTTGAAAGTTTTTACGGTCTTCTTAATCATAGGGAAATTGACGTAGAGCCAAACGATCGACTCAAAAGCTTGGAAGCTATTATCGATAAATGACACAAATGATACGAATTTCAGGTGAATGAAGCTAGGAGAAGTCGTTCAAGAACCTATTGATTGAAGTTTTGTCATATTGAATTACTGGTAACCATACTGTCACATTTGGATGTATTTCGAGATAGAGTTTACATATCCTTTATAGACTTCATTGTAATTTTTTTTCGTTTGGATGTGGTGAGCGAAACAAAGTTCCTGGGATACATAATCGAAGACATAAGTTAGTATTTTTAGGACACGAAACCAAAAGTCTTTATTTGAAAAACCAAAATACATCAAATTTGTTCAGCAAAGTTCGCGGTTAATCGAAAAATATTTTTGACAAGTTTTAATTATGAAAGTTTAGCAACTATTTCTCAACTAACAATGGAAGGTCGGGAACTTTTGAGCAGTAAGATTGACCTTGTTCATGTGAAAAGATTACTCTGATCGAGAAACTAACGTATTTAAAATATGAGCTGCTGATGGCGTACCTGGACAAAGATATTCAAGTTTTATGTTACGCATTATTTGGGTATAGAAGCATGATAATATATGATCTATTAGCATCAACCTTTTTATAAAGTCATCAAACTTTTTAGGACGCGAGTGTTTAAAATCTTCGTGAGTCTTACTAACAATATTTAGTCTTTTTAAAATACGACTTCTGTAGTTTAACGGCAGTGAATACGACATTGAAGATTATTACACATAAAAATCCAGCATTCATCAGTACAATACTTGACTTTATTTTACAAGAAATCAGTGAAAAGTAAGTTACAAAATAATATTTCAAAAGATGTACTAGAGATGAAGATGAAGGTCTTCAATCAAATGATAATAGCAAAGGTGTTTTTGACACCAAGTGCAAATGAGTAGGGTTCGCTCCTCACAACCAGAAACTGAACAAAAAAGGTCATAAAATTTAAAACAAATCTCTTTTGGTTTGTTGATGTAACCAATTGTTTCATTGAGTATTTAGCTTGCACAAATCCAGATTTGATAAGACTTTTAAATTGTGGAGCACATAATTGATTGTGAATGATAGAATGCATATTTACAAAATATTGACGTTTATTCAAATTCATTTCTGTTCGATTGACATGAATATAATGTTCAATCTTCTCATGAATAAATCGCCAGGAACGAAACAAGGATAGATCTTGTGGTTGAATATAACCAGTTGATCCTTTCGGAAAAATTAATAACTGACTGTCTTGATGTGCAAATACTGTTCTTAATTTTTTTAGATCAGCTTGAGTTGGCCAACAATCAAGGAAAAGAAGGAATTTTCTATCAACCAAAGGACTTAGAACTTCATTTAAAAAAATACGATGTTTTTCATTGCTGCTTTTTCCAGATTTTGAAGCCCGTACTACGACATTTGGTGGTACAATTAAATCTTTTTCTACTCTTTCACCGAATTCCTTTTCCTTTTCCTGAAGAATGAGGAAGAATTTGTGCAATAATTGACCATCAGCTGATGTAATTGGCTGCACAGTATAAGAGTGCGTGATATTATTCATCTTTTTAACAGCAATTTCGGTTGTTCTTTCGCTAGTGAAAGAGAGAGTTCTTGGAGAAACATATTCTTGTTGAAATGAACAATGGTCACTGTTTAGAATTTGACGAGAAGAATAATTCGATATTGAAGACCTTTGATTTTCGACCCAATCATGAGCATCTCAAATACACATATAAATATATATCGCATTAATATAAATAGACTAGATCTCAAATAAGAACACATATACCTTTCAAACTGCATTATTTTCTAGTTGAAGAAACTCGAGTAATAAGTTTATTGTACTTTCTAGATGAAATTCCATGTTCTTATTTGAGATCTAGTCTATTTATATTAATGCGATATATATTTATATGTGTATTTGAGATGCTCATGATTGGGTCGAAAATCAAAGGTCTTCAATATCGAATTATTCTTCTCGTCAAATTCTAAACAGTGACCATTGTTCATTTCAACAAGAATATGTTTCTCCAAGAACTCTCTCTTTCACTANTGTCAAATTCAAGCATTCTTCACGTACTTCTCATTGGTTGAATTCACTCGACTTCGATCATTAACTTTAATTGAGATCAAAGAAAATGATATAGAACAATTATCATCAACATTACCATTACTCTCACAATTAATGTGCCTTCGATTGATTCCTTCTCTATCAGTTTTTTATACACTCCTCGATAAACTTCCAAAATGCAAACCAAACATATTGTCAACACCGTCAATTAGTTCTACATTATCATCTCAAGAAATCATACCACTTACAAAGTTGTCTGTAACGTTTGGTATGATGAATCACATATATCAAATGTTACTACATATGCCATTATTAGAATATCTAAATATTTCAAGAGGTCTTCAATTTGATTCAGTATCATCTGCTGACATAGGTCATCTTCATGGTCGTGTTAATCATCTAAAATATCTAAATGTATCTGATTGTATGGTTAATACGGACAATTTGATGGATGTCATTGCATATATGATCAACTTGCGAAGTTTAACAGTCTCTGTATATGAAAATTCCGATATAATCGATGCTTCTCGTTGGAAACACCTAATCACATCTTCATTATCACATTTAACTGTGTTTCGATTTAGATTTGGTACTTTTGATCGAAATGAAATAATTAGAAAGTATGAAGATTTTCAAACGAATTTTTGGATCAAAGAACATCAATGGTATACAGAATGTTTATTAGGAGACCAAATTTTATCACAAATTTTCACAATTCCTTATCTAAATGACACAAGACTGATGGGATTAAAATATGTTCGACACTTTAATACACGAATTGACGATTCAAAGACGTTCGATAATGTTACAGATTTACATTTACCAGGCAAAGAACTGATGACATCAAGTGGCTTTTATTTTCCTAATATCCGATCGTTGGTTATTCATTCTTTACCTGTATTTGCTAATGAAAGTGATGAACAAATATTCATCAGATCTCTGAAAAGAATAATGAATTTGTCAAATGTAAAACATTTAGAAATTCCATTATGTTCTCAAACAACAAGACCAACAATTTTGTTAGAAATTCTCAAAGAAGCACCAAACTTATCATCCCTCAATATTTACAACTGTGCTGTAGATATATTGAAAACNTGAAACTTCAATACTTTTTTGCACGTATTCTCCCTCAAAATAGCTTATAATCCTCACAGCTTGACTTGAAATTATTACCAAAAGGATCACCACATTTTTCTGAATAGGATAGGCGATAAAGCGACTGAAAATATCCTATGGGCAAAATCGGCTTCTTAGGCGCCCCTGTCCTCTGAGCTCAATAAGTTGGCTAAGACATTTGCTTAAGTTATCATTAGTGCTCGTGGTCAAACTGAAAATATAGATCTTAGTGGCTTATTATTAGTAAGAGATTTTTTCATTATGGCCCAAAATTATATTGTAAGTAGATCAGTCGACTCGGCGAGTCACAAAATCAACTTGTACTCGCGTCAGTACGAAGAATACCGTCCCGCCTCGCCGTGAGGCGAGACGGAGAAACTCGGCGAGTCTCAGATCTCTGATTGGTACCCAATTTTCAGTTTTCACGCTCTTTCGTATAATGAAATTTTCACCAACTCTGCACGAGATCGAAAATTTTAAGTCAGTTGATATGTACAAAAGAAAAGGTTAACGCAGTCCATCATTTTTCAACAAGATGAAACACCTGCACGTTTTTCTCAAGCGATCCGCTTCTGACTCAACAAAGTCTTCCATGGCAGATTGATTCGAAAAGGCAAATCAATATCATTGGCTCCTCGATCAACAGATTTAACACTATTGGACTTCTTACTATGGAAACATCTTGAAGCAAATGTCTACAGAACACCATTACAAGATCTCGATGGTTTAGATACTAGCATAGCGAAAGAAATCGAGATAATAAAAAAACAAGAAACTTTACGTGATGTTTCTTCAGAAATTTTGAAGCGTCTAAATTTTTGTATTAATATTAAACTATCAACGACAAAATGACTGCAAATCGTATTTTCGGTGTAACTTTTGATAGAAACATTATAGAGAGCTGCAGTTTTTACCGTTGGAAAGAGGAGAGGAAAACGCATCGTACCGTATATTATGGAGTTTTTCTAATTGTTGTCTAAGACTTCTTAAATCAAGTTTCTAAAAAAAAGGTAGCGGAAAAATGGTTTTTATCCGAAAGGAAAAATAAAAAAAAGTAATTTTTTTCATAGGATTGCTAGAAAAAACGGCTCACAGTTTTAAGTAGAATACCTATAACTCCTGAACGACTGAAGCTAATAATCTGAGCCTTCCGCAGTTTTATAGATCTTCCATTGGCCGTTTCAATGCAAACCACAAGATTGAAATTCACTTATAGTCACCTATCGAGTACGTTGTTTTTCAAAAAGCTCAATTGAAAACCTTAGAAAAACTAGGTCAAAAACCTGTAGCCTACGATTAAACGCGTCTTTATCTCCTCTTTCCAACGGTGAAAACCACAGCTCTCTATCTTGTTTCTGTCAAAAGTTATATCAAAAAAACGATTTGCAGTCATTGTGTCGTTGGTAGAAAGGCAATAACTTTGAACGGTATGTATGAAATTTGTCTTAATAAATAAAAACCTATTAGTCTCCTCGTTCATATAAAGAAAAAATTATTAAAATAAAGCTTGATTAATAATTGAATTATAAGAATGTGGGTGTGGTTGTGGGCGTAGGCATGGGGTTGTGAGTGTGCGCGCGGTTGTGAATGTGGGTGTGGATGTGGATGTAGGTTTGGATATGATTGTTAATGGTCGTGGGTTCGGGTGCGAGTGTGCGTCCCTGATTAACCCCCAGCTCCCACCTCCACTCACACCCACACCCACAGATCTGCACCCAACTTTAAATAGACAATTATCATATAATAACAGCATGTATGTGAAGAGGAACTATTAATAGAATTTATTTTCAAATAAGTGTTATTGACATGGTTAGTAGTTACAAAATCTAAGTGTCAGAGTATAACATGAAAATAGATTTGAAAACCTATAAAACTATGTTAGTTATGGTTAAAAAAAATTGTGAGCAACTAAAAAGAAAAAATAATCTTGGTTAATATTTATTGTATAAGTCATAGTCTTTTCAGATTTACTGTCGTGATGGCCAGTTCTCAAGGAGAAGAAACTAGTTCACCAAAGATTTCCTGAAGTCTAGCACATACAACGGGCCAGATCATTTGACGACCAAATGCATAGGCATTGTAACGAGCTGTGCTGAGTATATCATCATTTTGAAATAGGTTAATAATCAATGAACTCAATGAGAAATGATCATTGAATGGAGTTAGAAAACCACGACCATTGTCTAATAATTCCTTGGCATATATATAGGGTGTTGAAATGACACCCTTGCCTAAACCTACTGCCCAAGAAAGTGTACCACTCACATATTGATCTTCATTAGAATAAGGTGTTAAAAAAATATCAGTGGCATCAAGATAAGCAAGAAGTTCATTGTCATCCACATATTTATTAATAAAACGAACATTGTTAGTCAAACCATATGCAGTTACATTGTTTTCAAGCTCTTGACGATAAGACTCTTTTTCAAATATTTTAACTAGTGGATGAGTTTGACCAATGATTAAATACATTACATTTGGAACTGATTTGACAACTTTTTGCATCGCTTTTAAAACTAATTCAATGTTCTTGTTTCTATGTAATAAACCAAATGTAGTCATCATTGGCATATTTGCTTCAAGACCTAATTTTGTCTTGGCATCAGCTAATGAATGAGCAAATGAACTATCAGGTACACCGTGTGGAATAACAGAAATTTTTTCTGCATTCACTCCATAAACATCAATAAGAAGTTGACGACCACATTCGGCTAAAACGATAATACGAGTCGATATAACACAAATAGCACGTGTCATACTCATATAAAAAGTATTTGGATTTGAAGGGATTCTTTAAAAAAGGAATAATTCACATATGAATCTCCAAAACATCAATTTTATGATGACTTACGTGTGTAATGTGGTGATCACAGGTTTTTTTATAGAGGCCAAAAGATTTATAACATATTCACCAACCATTCCACCATACAGATTAAATTCATGTTGCAAATTAAAAACATCATATGCTTCTGAATTGACTATATCAGCTACTGTATAGTATGCATCTCGATTTTGTTGGTTGAGACGAAAGATAACTTTGTCAGAATAATTTCGACTTGATGGATCCATATTCTGTTCATCAACTGCGACAACATTGTAAGGACTTGGATAGTTTTCTGTTAAATCTTCCAAGAATTTAGCTAGACCACATTGACGAGGTGGATATGAACCAATAAAGAGCACGCGAGGTGCAGTGCTGGTGGTTGATTTTAGCTCACTTATACGTTGGTTACTTTTTGATTCTGACGAATTGATTGTTACTGATTGAAGAATAGTATAATCGGATGGTATATAATTTAATGTTTGATATGGCTGATCAAATGGATCCGATACATCCGCCAGTTTCTAGAAATAATATATAGCTAAGTTGTTTCGAGAAACAAAACATTTTTTGCATGCATAGTTATAGAATAAATATAAATGATAGGAAGTATATGAAATATATTTGAACTTAGAACAAAATTTTCTTGTGAAAATTGTCAAGTTAATCTGAAAGAACTTTTGAGAAATGTTTTTGTTTCTATCAAAGAAAGCTTAACATAGAATGTTTTTAAGATACTAAATAATATCTCATTTTCTTAGTTTGAACAAATTGTTCTTGAGTATGAATAACAAAATTCATAGAGAACATTGAAAGGCCTAAACTTTTTTATTTTCTATTATCTAATGTCTTCTTTTCAAAAAAAAAATTTTCCAAAATAAGAATCTTTTACTCACCCATGTTGTAGCAAGAAGATGATTGTCTGGTGTTAGAGTATATCCAAGTCGACATGTATCCGAACGAACACCCAAATATTGATGAGGAAGAACAGGAAATTGACTACCTTTACAGCTTCCATCATTCACATTATCAACTGCTTTATCACTACACAATCGAATAGTAATCAGATGCATATAAGGTTTAAGTGCTTTCGTAACACCCAGTTTCAATGGGCCTGATGTATGGGTAAGAACAAGTCGAGCTTCGTTCAAGTCCAAATTTCGATCGATCAGATCGAATGCACCAAATTCAACAGTAGCCAAAGCACATGTTCGATCAACATAAAACGATACACTATTGACGTTACCTTTGTTTGCTGCTATCACATGAGAATCGATGTAAACTATGCCTGCTGGAGCACCGGCTTCTTTCGATGATCGACGGACAATAGAACGTGTATTGTTGATGGCTGAAATGAAATCATCATTGAGAAAGAGAAATAATGTCACATCCAGTCGATATAGTACAAGAAAAACTTTATCCATATTTTCTCATGCAAAAGATAATCGTATTCTCTTTATCCTTTGTTCGTATTGAGTTTCATTCAAAATAAATATTTTTCCTATCAAACGAATCATTTCATATCACTGACTTGAACGACAATTTAGTCAAAGTATGTCTGTATTTACTGAAGAAATATAATGAAATTTGAGGATATATTTCTCTTTAGTGAATATTATCTATGTCTTTCATTCATACATACAAGTGCCGTTGGTAGTCATGGCAGCGACAGTTGATGTCGTAGTAAAAGTGTTCTGATTTTCAAGCTCTCGTGCTAAATACAGATAAATATCAGTTATGTTTGAGAAATTACCCATATGCATATAATTCATACCCAGTTCTTCATCTATAATGAACTTAGTGAGGAGAGCAATAAGAACTCGTCTAATGTGCGCAGCCCGAAGATACTGCAAAATCACAACGGCTCGAACATGTGTTGCTTTTACTGCTGATTGTTGTCTGCGCTGAAAAATAAAATACATAGAATATTTAACACTAGCTCTATTTTGCGTGTATGCTCTCTGATCAAAATCTGAATGGTTAATATAAATGTTAAATCGATTTCTACTAATAATTATAAAATTACAAAAACAAGTAAATCTCTTTCCTCATTCAAAGACCCAGAAATCTTCAATTATGTCTAACCGTACAAATTTTCTAGGAAAGTGTGAGCGTGGGTGAGTGTGAGTGTGGGTGCGGGTAGATGGGTGTGGGTTGGGTGTGAGCGAGGCTGTAGATGAAGAGGAGACCCACACCCACACCCGCCCACACCCCGACATTTGTTTAATCTCCTTTGAATATTACAGTAAACTCTTTCGGTAATGTAATAAAACTACGAAAAATGTATTCCAAGTCTAAAATTTTGATGAATAGATATCACAACTAATAATATGCATCTCTGATTTCTGTTTTTTTCTCTTTATCCTATAACAGTAAATTGAAAGAGTATTGTTGTTTCTACTCTGTTCTTATACAAAATCCGAAGTTTAAAGAATTGAATAGTGACCAACTGAATACTCTAAGATAAATAAGTCGTATAGGCTTGAATTATTCAATATGTAAGAGAAATATTGCACACTTATAGCTTACTCGTCTCCTGCTAGCAACACCAGTAGAACTGACGACCGTAATCGTGGTGCCTTTTATTTCCGGATTACTATTCAATTTTTTTTGTAACTATAAAAGAAAAGAGTTGATAATAAAGAATAATACTAAAAGAGACTTACAGCAGCCTGCAAGATTGCTCTTTGGTTGGTATTATGTTCACCAACGATAAGTATTTGACCATTACTTAACCTAATAAGGAAGGTGTATGTTTCTGACTTCTTAGACACAGTAAGGTCGTGTGGAGGTGTGTAGATTGGAATAAGCGACAAGACGATGGTCGCAGCCATCAAAAATAAAACCAAACAAAGACACAAAAGACCAGCAGTTACAGAGAGCGGAAGACTAAAAGAGGAATTTGAATTAGTTATACACGATAGAAAATGAAAAAGACAGACATTGAACGATTTGGCTGTCCCGCAGCTACTGATGCAGTCTGGTCTACCAGTTGAACAGGAACTGATCGAGTGTTGTTCTGTTGCATTATGTGGTCTCCTTTGCTGATTATCCAAATAATCGTTAATCATCCACTACACCGTACTTATCACGTCTGTTCTAATTGGCAAGAAGGTTGTTCGATCGATTTTTATTTTATCTGAAATAGAAAAATACTTAATGGATAGTCTTACATTTCTTCTCTCCAATAAGAAATATAGGTGATGATGGCACATTTATTTCAGAGTAAGTTATTGCCTTTTGACTTGACGTATCAACAGCAGTGGGCAACTAATCGATCGGTGAGATAAATGCACATTTCCAGCGGAAAAATGCCATCCACGTCAAAAATGAATTTTTTATCGATTCTGTTCATAAAAGACGACCGTCACACACATATATGCATATGCGTCCACATTTCATTTGTATCTCATTCTTCTATGATTATTATTCAGAAAAGGAAAACGTGTGATAACGTTGCCTCGGTTTCTTCTCACTCCGCTAACGACGCTNGTGCCAGATAGAGAAAATGAAATAGAAAAGAGAATACCTCACGAGAAAGCGATAAGTCTTGGAAACACCCCCCAGTTAGACACTAAGATTTATGTCATATCACAGATCATCTAACTATCACCATTAAGTTGACAAACTACAAGATGCTATCACCATGCCATATTCACTTCGGCTAACCGACAATAAAACCATTTATCTTTTAAGATACAGAAAAAATGCGTTTCTTCGAAAAAATTCACTTCCAGCGGTGAGCATAACTTCAATTGATTTTCATTTTTCACGTACAATAATACTATATACTATAAGAGTGCTATACTTCCCTTGCACAAGTCTAACTAAACGCAATCTTCTTAAATGACACTAGATTACTGAACCTATCTATATCATTTTCCTATACAACTGGGGAGTTTTTCCAAGACTTATCGCTTTCTCGTGAGGTATTCTCTTTTCTATTTCATTTTCTCTATCTGGCACTACTAACCATTATCCCCATCATCTTCACTTTTCCCATCAACAGGTACCTATCTATGAATTGCACTATTTAACAATTTTTCTAATATATTACCTCATTTATTTATTTCCCAATTTCATTTATCTTCCAGCGGTACCCACTGTTCCAACACATCTTCACTCTCCCTCTCACACAGTATCTATATAGCTGTTCAGGTATCAAACAATTTTTCCAAAAGAAGACCACATTCTTTCATTTTTCTATTCCATTTTTTCCTTAGAAACCTTCACTATTCCTATGCATTTTCATTTTTCCGCGGTACTAGAATCTATATAGCTATTCGGATATCCAACACATTTCTCATAGACGATATTATTTTGTCATTTTTCTATTTCACTGTTTCTATGGACATCTACATTATTTCTATGAAGTTGCGTTTTTCCGCTGAAGTTGTATCTGTGTATGTGCTGAAGTATCCTACGGCTGACCATTTTTGACTGGAGCGACATTTTTCCGCTGGAAGTAAGCATTTATGTCAACGATCAATTCAATGGCCAACCCTCATATTATCATATCATCCTCAACAGAATAATAGCTAAACCAGAGAATAGTAAACAATTCAAAAAATATAACTTATGGAAATACACCAGCATCTTCCAACATATATTATGGGTGATAAGAAAACGACGACTCATGATTAAAAGTGATTCATTTTCCACATGAGGCAAAATGATTGAATATACCAGACACCAGAGCTTTTCTCGGCTTTATCACTGTTGAAAATATTTAAACAATTTGCTGTTCATCAGTATTTTGAAAAATGATCGTGGAAAAGTGATTGGATCGAGCTGAAAATTTCAGATAACGAAGCTTATTGTCCTCTTCAACATAGTAAGAAGCATGCAATAGTCTATTTGATTTCAATCAGAATTTAACGGGAAAAAACAACACTCGATTTCAAATACAAATGGGAGTCTGCGGAATGGGGACGGGAGGGGGTCTTTAGAATTATCTGTTATCATATATACCTATATACCTGCTTTTTTTCGATCGTAGGGCTAGTAGGTCTGTAGTATATACAGTAACAAAGATTTGTAAAGACCCCTAGGCCTACCATCTAAAAAAGGAGGTATATGGCTAAATAATATAGTAGATAATTCTAAAGACCCACTAGAGTCACTGTCGATAAAATAGCAGATATCATGAGTCTTCAGATGTATGTATAGCAATGACTTATTCAAAATATCTCATAAAATAAATAAGGGTGTCGCTGGGGTTTGGATGAGTAGGACACGTGATATATTTTATGTATAGTAAGATTCCCTGCCCCCGTTTTGTTTCGACAAACAGGTTTGTTTTAGTACGTCTCCGAATCCCTCATTGTTAGCAAAAAGTAGACCTGATTTTTTTTTCAAACTTCAGTTTGAAATGAAAACCCCATAGACTCTAAAAAGTCAGGGAACTTCTAAATATCACTCTATCTTCGAAATCTGAATCTCTCAAAAGCTTATTCTTAGATGTTATTTCATAAGTCTGGATGCTCGATAAAACGAATTCATGCGCAGACAGAGTTTAATCCATAACATAATACATTTAGATGAGCCTTTAATACTTATGGTGACCTTTCAAAAGACATTGTATTGAATGCCATTTTCTTTCTTAATAATAAAAATAAAAACATGAGAATGTGAGATTGAATTTTTTTTGTTTCGACTAGTACAATTTTTTGAAGACTTTATAATAGATTGTTGAACATATTTCATCGCTAGAAAAAAAAGACAAGATAAACACAAAATAAAGAATTAATATGAATGAAGATTTATATGTTAAATTTACTGAAGGAGTTGCTTGTAAAAAAAAATAAAAAGTGACCTTGAAAAAAATGCTATATTTCAAGACAAAATAAACTCAAAACAAATAAAAAAGGCTATAGAAAGAATTTTTAATGAATTATTTAATGATCGAATTTTGCCTCAAGATAGTGATACAAAATTTACTGATGTGTGGCCCATTAAAATGTGTGCGAAATATTTATGAAAAAGGTGTGTGAGAAATCATTTTCAAGTATTAAACAACTAAAAACTAGAGCGAGCAAAGAATAGAAAAAACACTTGGTAGAATGAATGACAAAATGATTGATGAAATTCCTCAGAGGCTTGGTGAAGTAATAAAAAATGGTAGAGAACAAATACATGATATACGGTTGTCTGGAAAGTCCGTGCAACTACATCTAAACTGCGTGCATGAATCATTTAGTTTACACCATCATGCGGAGCGTGTATTTTTACCACGATTCAAAGCTTTTGCGACCGATTGCAAGATTTTCTAAGAAAAAAATTAGTTTTCATGATCGTATTTATTACGGTTTTTAGTCATGATAGAGTCCTACTCGTTTTCTCTTTCTTCGTTGCTTCCCTCCTCTTCTCCTCTGGTTCTTAAGTTCTGTGCATTTTCTCATCGAGTATCTCACACATTCTTATGCCTCTTCTCTATCGTTTTGTTTCTGTTATTTTCTGATGCATGCTTGATATACCAAGCATGTTTTTGCACATGAAGAAATTTCTTCATGGCAAGAGTTTTAACTCTAATGATGAAGTGATTATGACTGTCGAAGACTACTGAAGTGATTTTAATTCGGAGTTTTTTTTTCTAATAGCATAAATAGTTTGCATGATCGTTGACAACGTGTGGTTGCTAGTGAAGGTCATTACATTGAATAAGTGCAGCACTTGTTATCATATGACTTCATAGAATATGAATTGCACTGACTTTTCGGACAACCGTATACTTAAATGAGATTTTTACGTAACTAAATTCATATGTGTAATTTGAAACTAAAGCACTTTTTTTGCTTTTTCTTATGAAATAGCTTGTTGATCAATTTCGAAAATTTTATCGCCACATTCTCATGTTTATATTTTTCTTATTACAAGAGAACATGCCATTCAATAAAATGTCACTTGAAAGACCGAGATGAATACTCAAAACTCATCTAGATATATTTGATTAAGGATTATGAAACATTCTGTATGTTCGCAACAAAGTCAGAACACTCGAGCTGACTGTTTGCTGATTGTTATTCTATCCACTGTGTTAGTAAAAACATTAAATCCTAGTTCAGTATTTCCACCATAAGTACGAAAAAAAATAGTTATTGAGGATATCGTGAAGCTTATACATTACTGTTGAACTATCAATTTTTTGCTTTGTTAAGATTGAGTAGTGGTGAGTTGCATTTTCCAGCTTTGTTACAAACTGGTTCTGACTTTCGCATGAAAGCATTAGTGTTCTTCAATGTTTCTCTCATCACCATTATGTGTTGATTTTCTAACTTTTTGAATTCTTAATTTCAGTTCCTCACGATTGAGCATATCATTCATGCCATTCTATATCAATAGAACAGCAGAGGTTTGGTCAGTCTAAAGAAACGATCAAAGCTACTTTATCATTCACTGAGAAAGACAAGCTTATGTCATCAAATTTTGTTACTTGATTCCAGGAAAAATGTGCTCTTACTAGAGTATTGAATGATGTTCAAATATCACTAAGCCATAATACTGCAGTCATGTTCAGATCATTTTCATTGAGATTGCCTGTCGCATGAAACTTTGTTGTATGGATGATTTTCTTGCACATTTCAGTTACAACAGGACGAGGATTATTCCATCGCTATTCTCAATACACTTCCGGCTTACACGCATGCCGCATGACTGAGCAATCAGAGTAAAACATCACCACATGAATAAATTGATTTGAGATCACTTTAAATACTTTCAAAGGAAATAATAAGAACGTGTGTCAATTAACTTGACCATCACAAATAATCCTACATATCTAACAGCTTTGACAATGAGATATCTAGTCTTATGAAGATGAGTGTAGGTATTGTAGCTGTCGAAAGACACTGCCGCGCTACTGTTTGATAAAGAGTGGATAACTCGACAAGCTGCCAAACATGGTGCATGACATCTACCTAGAAAAGATAAGTGTATATGGTCATTGAGTTTAACAGAAAAGTAAATCACGAACTCCAAATTATGTCGTGTCCAGATCGAGAAAATCGTGAGCCTTAAGGAATACCAATGCATGGAATGCCACAATTGCTAGTAAGAGTTACTTTTGAATTGAATTTTTGCTGTCGGTACGAGTATGAAGTGTATAGTTGTGAAAAAGCAACCAGATGAGCATATTCATGACAGGCATACACGTGATAATCATATGACTCCAGCCGCATCTTATCAATTTTGAGAGTTAGACTAACATTATGCAAGAGAATATAAACATCAAAAATGTAGAACACGCATTGCTTTCACAGAAACGTAGTCTCGTGGTTGTCAACAATATTTCTCCACTATAAATATATTAGCTCAATACGTCGCTTTACTGCGTAGGATAATGAAGTCACGACATTGTCTTGTTTATAGTATTTGTGTATCGTCATAGATGAATGCGTTTTCTGTCTAGTTTGCATCGTAAGCAATTCATATGGTCCACCTTCATTGCTGTTACTAACTACCCATTATGTTATTTTTTGTAAGAGAGAAAAAAGGAGCACGTCCTTCCTTCGACATACCTAAATGCATAGAGAAGCATCTAAAAATTGATAGCAAGTATACACCCCTGGTGTCACAAAAGTAATTATATGTTTGACACTTTTCAATCGTGACAACCACGCATACATTCTACTCGGAAGATGGATGGGTATGGGTGTGGGTGTGGCTGTGCGTGTCGGGTGAGGGCGGGTGTAGATGTGGATGAACAGAAGAACAAGATTCCACATCCCATACTCATACCCACACCCACCCACACCCACACCCACACCCCACACCCTAATTACAAGGCTATAGGTTTATACCAGAAATTGGGCTTTCGCAAACAGGCGTACTTGCCAGATTTTTTTCATTCTCAAACACCTCTATGGTCACTTCTATCGGGTGAACCGAATGCGTATCTGATGGTTGCAAATATAGATGAGATAACTACGTAAGATCTATTCGATCAAAACAAACAATCAATGCTTTGGATATGGGTGTGCGTGCTAGTGAAAACAACATTATTACTCATATTCAGTCTGATAGAGTTTCTTTTTGTTGTCAAACAGTTTGATAATGATCCTGTATTGGAGATTAAAAATTTTCCGGTTTCATTCATCAACTAAATCAAGATTCATATAGTAGCGTTTGGTGGATTTATTGTTGAAAAAGAAATTAATTTGTTGTGTCGAACGAACGATAGGAATAACAGAACGAACCATTCATGTTTTTTGTATGTCTGACATAATTTTAATAATGAACAATGGAAAAGATCTAAAGCAAATTAATGATCTAAAAACCCCAAGAAAAGCTTTTATTCGTTTTCGCCACCTCGAAATCGAAGCAATTTCAAAGTGAAAAGTACTTTCTTTTTGAATGTTGTAATGATAGAGTATTCGACCAACTTCCAGTTGTTTACTAACAATGACAAGACATTGTTCATCGGGTGAAATACCTTTTTTTCTACTGAATTTCAGCTCTCACATTTGCAATTCTTTCGCGTGATTCGACATCAACTATGATAATTTTTTCAGCAAAGGTTTTTAAAAAATTTGAATTGTTAGTAGTGAATAAATAATGAAAAGCAATAACTATTGTGTTCAGTAGGAGTTCATGAAGTAATGCGTAAAAAATTATTGTTTTTGTATTCTATGCTGCCTAAGAATGATTCATTACTCAAACGTCTGAAAAAAAAATGGAGTATTTCAGATATGACGTTGATGGTACGTAGTCACGAATGACAAATAAAAAGAACAAAGAATCGAGTGTAACTGGTTGTAATAGAAAAAAAAAACTGAGTCATCTCATGAATAGCACATGATGCATTTCAGAGGGCGCTGAAAATTTCATCGAATCTCATCAATATTAATTTAGTTATCAGGAGTAAGATTGTATTTGAATTCTATGTTTCTGTAAAATTTATGAAATCATGAAATGACTTTTAGCGCATATTAACGGTAATAAAATGCTAATGTTGAAAAAGCAGTTTCAGTTCGTTGTCTGCACACATATCATTCGCATAACATATGCTTTTACATTGATCTATGCCAATGATGCAGACGTAGGTGTGCACAAAGATATCACACCCACACTCTCTAAATACGAACAAAAATAAACTGTGATTTAAAAAAAAGAAACAATTCCTCGATAAAATCAGATTGAGAAGAACAAACGGAGTAAGTTTTTCGAACCATATTTCCAAGACGTTTCGTAAATTGAGAAACCTATTGTAACTAAAGCTTGTATATTTCAATATATTCCAAATACAGAATGATACGTTTTAATCGACTGTAGAGAGAAAAAATGCATCGAAGTAGCAAGTGGCTTTTTTTCGTTTGCATTTGTATCTTGAAATATTAGAGTGTGAGTTTATGGTAATGTCGTTACAAAATTGATAGTCAAGATCATCTCTATCACTATCATCAACGTCATCATTGTTGATGATTAAATTCGCTAAGATTATGAACGTGGATTCGTGTGCGACAAAAGAAGAGATTAGTACTCACACCTATACTCAATTGACTTTTGTTTTTATGATCGAATGATTCAAAAAAAGAAGTAATATTTTTAAGAAACTTTTATTTTTCACATTTTAATCAGTTTCCCGAAGTTCAAAGGAAATATGTCACTTCTATATTTTGGTCTGAAATGGGCTTCGCTGATAGATTTTTACCCTGATACAATTGAATTCAATAAACAAGAGTTTCCTTTTGAATGACACCAAACTCATACCTTCAATACAGGAAAATAAGTATAGTTAAACATATTTTGAGTCTTAGTTGGAGGTCAACCGTAAGCTGATAAGATCAGAAAGTTTATCAATATAGGATATCATGTCTGTTAAAAATGAATAAAATCAACCAATCAAAAATGATTATTTTAACGAACTCGCTTCATACGTTTATGATTAGTTTGTATGTTTAATTGCTTATTTATGCTCTTACCAAGCCAAAAGTGTACTAAATTGGCCCTTGGATAATCATCGACCCACGCATAACACTCCACTTCGTATGCAACATCTCTTTCTATTCTTGGAGTCTGTTGGATTATTTTAATCACGAAACCATAGGCGTCAGAGTTTTGAAATGTGGCATGTGATAAATGCTCAATTTTTTCTAATAACAGTTTTGCATCATCCACATAGGTAATATCAGTTTGAGGACGTTTGACACGACGAGGTAATTTTAAACAGATAGCATTGAAAATTATCAGTTTCATTCTTTCAGAATTACGACAACTTATTTTAACTGAACGAAGATTCCGTGCGTGTTTAAATAGAGTATCGATTTCATCATTCAAACTTACAATAAACTGACATTCTTGCTTGAAATCTAAATGTATTGGTTGAAGGCTTGATAGATTAAACATTGTCGAAAGATATTTAGCTAAGTAAGCGGACCAGTTTTGTTCGATTTCCAATGTAAGTTCGACCACATTTTCAAACCAATAATTCATTCTCGGAGAAGTCTAAAAAGCAAGAAAACTGTTTGAATTTTCTTTAAAAAAAATTATGACAGTCTATATTAAGAAATTTCAAATTTTTTTTCTGAGCATAAAACTCGACTGTACCTTATCAAATAAGTTGCGAATGGAATGCAATTATCCATAATAAAATTGAAAATATAGACGTAGAACTTAACCTCATACACTGCATATTAGAGAAATGGAAGTGACGATTCACATTCGTAGATTCCTAGAACCTCCTACAACTCACATTTTACTTATTTGTATATGATTTTATCGATTGCCGCAAATTATAATTTCTACAAAAGTTTCCGTTCTACTAAACAGTGCAACTGACAACCATTACAATCGTTCAAAAATAATAAATAATTTATCGATTTTCTTTTAGATAAAATAGCGACATTTGAAAATTTTTAGTAATATTTACCTGATGTTGAATCCTTTCATTCATTGCTTTACTTAAATCTAAAGATAATTCGTGCGTCTCTATGATGATTGTTGAGTTATCATCGGTGATATTCAATATCGAATGTAAGATTTCACTGTATCCGTTAGGATATAGAAACATGTCAAGAGATATTGGTATAGAATAAAGAGAAAAGTACTGACGATATTTGCCGGAAATATTATCACATTTAACACACCAATGTTTAGTTTCAAGCCAAAATGATGTACGGAATACCGTTATCAGTGATTTTACAGTAGTACAATCCGCGTTATCAACCACCGATCGAGTAAACCAGAACTTAAATCTGTTCAATAAAGGCAATTTAGTTTTGATAAAATTCTCCCAACGAGAACTATCAAATGATGATGGATCAGTTAAAATATCTTGACCGATTAATCGAAGATGTGTTAATTTCGGTAAAAGTAAAAGAAGTGATTCAATATCATTCATTGTGATATTTTTATAGGTTTCTAACGAGAGTGAAGTTAAACAAGTTGATTGTGTAATATTGGTCTGTACATTAATAAACTTATCAGATTCATATTTATTAGCCTCTTTCAAAGTCAACGTTCATAGACAACGTAGATGACTAAGAATGGAATAAACTGTATGCCAACGACAATCACAAAAAACTGCTAGGTATTCTACGTGGTATGAAATGGACCACTGTATTTTATTGAAAATTTCTTCTGTTCCTTTATATTCAAATTTACATAGATCATTTTGAAACATAATAGATGATAGCAATGGTAGTATTTTTTTGTCATAACAATGGTGAAATGAAATTGACAACGTTTTAAGAGGGTATTGCATAATATGCTTTTGAAATTTGTCTAAATCTTGTTCTTTAACATCAATGAGAGTTAATGAACGTAGTCGAATAAATTTATGAATGTGAAAGTAGAAAAGAAATAAACGAATTTGACTACGTGTTCTTATTCCATCCGTAAGTGTGAGTGAAATAATATTTTTCGGATCAATAATGTGTGCCATGACAGGTAAATCAGATTTTGACATAAAACGGAAGTCGAGTTCATAACGATTGTATATATTAGCGATAGCATGAAGTCGTTTACATACACAGCGAATTGAATAGATGATTGTATTAGTATCAAGTTGACCGAAAACTCGATGAACAAGTTCAACTGGTAAAATTTCAAAGGAAGATTTCTTTTTAATTGACATGAATTTTCATATAGAGAACTTGTGAATGTATGTTTTTTTTCTACTTTAGCATACGATGACTGTACATGTGTGTCAAGTGAATCGAACGCAAAAACAAACAACAAATGCTTTCATGCTTATTCATTTAAATACAGAGAAAGAAAATAGTTTCATATGTAATAAACTCAGCTTTTTAATGTGTCAAAATGAAAAAATCTAAAAACGAAATAAGTTAGAAATTTCGTTTGTCGGAAACATTCAATTTCATATAAATATAAATGAGAAAAAATTAGGACTTTTGCTGATTGAGTGTGGCTGTGGGCGGGGTGGGTGGGTAAATTTATTCGAATAACATATTCACACTTACCAACTACATTTTTGTAGTGCAGTCAGACACGCATTCACACCATATCCAAACTGATCTTTTGGTATTGGTTGATCCCGATGTTCATTGGCTTTCATGCTATGTTTTTGATGTAAAAGTAAAGCTCGTCGAAGCGTTTCAAGAAAATCTTAAACATGTTGTGTTATTTGATTCAGCAATAAAGTGTTTCGATGGTAATCAATCTTTTGTTAAATATGGTTTATACACTGCTCTATCATGTTGCAGACCTGATTTAGTATTATTTATATGTTTGAAAAACTAATTCTTCTGAGAGTGAATTCATTATTTCATGATATGGTGTTATGTCATACTACAAAACTATATACTCACTAATATGACAATAAAAGTTGGTTTACTTATCATAGCGAACTACCATTGTACGAATATTTTCTTCAACATTATTTAGTTTAGTAGAAATACTTAGTAAACAATTTAGGGTGTGGGAGTGGGGGTGGGGGTGAGGATGGCTGTGAGTGAGATTAGTACCCATACCCATACCCACACCCACATCCACACCAACAATAAGTGAAGCTGTATTAAGAGAAGATTTGCATCTAGTTGTAGATCGTAGTTCACATTTTATATTGGAACAACTGAAACCGCCAGTTTCGGTAGCAATCCAAAGCAGAGTTAATAGTAAATTTTCTAAACCTAACTTAGTGAAAATAATCCGTAACATGTATGCAATGGACTCAATGAATAAGAATCAACAATTAAAAGAACGAATTAATAAACTAATAATTGAAATAATCAATCCTGAACATAGTTTTTAGAGAAAACAATGGGAGTCAATTGGTAGTCCGTTATGTAAAGGTATTCTATCAAGTGTAGAAAGAATATGAGGTCCACCAAGTGTGAGCATCAGAATATTTGGTACATTGAATGGATTAGATGAAATTACTTCTATTATTGACACTGTTCATGAGCAACTTTTAAAGAAACTCTCGGAAATAGATCAAGAAACTCTATCTATAGATCTACTCTTACACCGTTATTGTAACATTAGTGAAGACGATGTCAAAGAAATAGCGAAACTCTTTATGCATAAAGATATTGAAGAGTTATATGACGAGTTAGGAAATGAAAATTTTTCCGCTAAATTAAATAAATTTATTATTGATAAAGACAACTTTATTAATTGTCTAAACTTATTACATTCAATACAACTGAATGCAGAAATCATGAAATTGATATCAGACACAATCGCAGAACAAGTATTTCGAATAACACAATCACAACTTATTTTACCATGGACTACTTATGGTATCGGTGAATTAACAAAAGCGATTTCTGAGAGAGTACAACATCATTTTATTGTTGACGAAAATCAAAACTCACACAGTCAAAATGAAGAAAAAATGGCTGGCACTATCAGAAATGAATATAATACTATGCTATGCTAAAACAAATAAATTAAAATGCTAAAGATTATACCATAGCATATAGTCAACGTGAAATGATTCATCATTCTCAACAACAACAAAAATCAACAAATAGAAATAAATCTGAAATATTCGATGATAAAGCTAAAAAATATATTAAAGTAGTAAAAAGCGATCAGCCGACAAATCTCTCAGATATGATCGGACTTGCTGCTGAGAATAATTTTGATATAAAATTAGTTTATGATGTCAATTATGAATCTACACAAGAAGATAAAGAAAAAGGTACTTATTTTCAACTTATGTCAGGAGATGGTACGGTGATTGATATTCCAAGCGAAACTAACAATTACGGCTATGCTGTTATTCAGAAGATATTAAAAGATCGAGGTATTGATAAATCCATCGAAGATCTTCATCATGAACGTGCACAAAACATAATAGATACTCCTGAATAATTTTTCAAAGTGCTACAAGTACAGCAATGGATGGAAACACGTCATCCTGTGATGGCAAATAGATTATTAATGATGGGATGTGGAAAAAAGAAAAATAATAATTCAATAAATGAAGAAAAAAAGTTATGTACAAAAACGATTGATGGTATCGAGGTAGATGTATATGATGCCAAGAAGAACCTTACAAAAGCAGAGAGCAAGTATATAAAGAAGCAAATAGAAAAATTGATTGAGATGATTGATTCGAAGGATATTAGTGGAAACCAAAAAGAGACACTTCTGGAATATGACATAAAGGGTAATTTTCATACGGGTAGTAGTAAAATCGGCGAAATCGATTTCTGGCAAAGTATTGATGGAAAAATACCGAAGAATTTCAAAGATAAATCAATAAGACTAGATCCTCAAGGTATAATAGGCGGTAATGCATTAAAGCTTCGAATTCAATATGGCAATAAGTCATATACTAATGTTCTTTTACCACAAAATCGTGAAGTCAGCAATGAAGCATTAATAGAGCTGTTTCGGAAGAGTCTAAACAATAGAACACGGGTTGTAGTGCCTCTATCGATGGAAACTGTACCCTCGGGCTCATAGAATTCCCAGAATATCGGTAATAACAAGAATAAAAGTAAAAATTAGTAAATGTAAATTTGAGTACTTTTTAAGTTTAGCTTTCATAGAAAATAGATTAATTTCGTATTCAAACACTGTTCACATTGTTTAATTTTAAAGAGTGTTCTCTTTGATTATTTAACACCAATAATTGATTGTAGATTTATTTTAGTTCTTGTGAACGAATAGGCGAGTTCTTTTATTTTTTAATTGATACTGAAATACTATTGTATATATCAGCTAACATTTTCTAGAAGGGTACTATTTGCTTGCAAAAACAATGGTGTTAAGTCAAATTTTCCATATTTTCTTCTTTAAAGAAGGATAGAAACTATCTCTAGTTGCATTATTTTTCTTCAGTATATAGTACTGTTGTATCGTTTTTCTTATATTCAGACTCACTATGGACATTGTGATTAAGGTTCTTTTGTTCTTCGACGTTATATATACATCGTTGCATTTTACCTATAATTAAGTATATCGAATAATAAAGCTATACAAGAACAAAGTCACTGATAAGAATGAAACAATTTTTAACTGTTTTTTGCTTCATGTCGAATTAACATCGATTGACTAGCTGTCTTATTACTGAAATAAGTTGACGATATTTGTATGTTTTGGGGATTACTGGAATATCAGTGTAGAGATGAACTACATTAACATCTACACATCGATAGTATTGATTTCGGATCAGTAGATGAGGTTAGTCATCAACCTATAGAAAAGAAACATTAACATATCGCACCGAGCGAAAGAAGTAAATACATTTATCATGTTTTATTCAGGGAATATTAAAAGATCGAAGTATTAATAAATGTATTCAAAGTTTTTCCAGTAAGGGAACATAAAGTATAGAAGATGATCTTCGGCAATTTTTGAAGGTAGACAATACACAGGGATTTCTGGGTGGACCATTTAGTTTATTATTATAAATCATTTTTTTTATTTCAAGGTCAAACTGATGTCAAATTAAAAGAACTAGTCGATCCGAATGAATTATCAATAAGGATAGGATCATTTAAAGAAATGAATGATAATTTATAAGGATAAACGGGGAAATATTAGTGTCGACGAAGCTAAATGGAACTTTTCTTATTGAAAATCTTGAGGTTTCATTCTCCACATCAAATTTTGTTTTTTACTCGACGAAATGTTTCTGGGAAAAAAATAATTTTCAGGAAACGATTTAACCTAGAAACAATCGAACACAAAATCTTCAGTAAGTAAACCGGGGTTTAATTTTCTCGACATTAATATTCTTTCGCTTATCCTTATAAATTATCATTATTTTCTTTAAAAAAATCTTTTCCTTAATGCTAATTAACTTGGATTGCCCTGCTCATTTAGTTGAACATGGGTTTTGACTTCAACTAAAAAATTTAATTTTTAATATCAATTACGAAAATTAAGTGAATAATTTAATTTTGATATTAAAATTTAATAGCTCACCCCTAACAGGGATGGATTGAATTTCGTCATTCTACAGATTCAAATGCACTATGATTAGCCACTTCACGACGTAAACAGTATTCTTTTAGTAAAAATCCATCTGTAACTGAAGAGAAATGTGACAAGGATCTGCATGGAAATACAAAATATAATAACATGAAGTTAAAAAGAGGATACTAAAATGAGAGACTATTCGAATAAATTTCGAGAATTTTCTGTTGAAAGAGTTCTATGAGAAGGAACTACCGGGTGGTTAGTTTAAAGTTGAATATGGTAGACATGTGAATAGCAGGACTTTGGCTAAAACCGAGAGTCTACATTATTTTTCAAAAGATGATATTCAGGAAGCTTTTGGGATGAGTTTGAATGCACTCAAACATGTAATACAAGAATCCTCGGAGATTAGAAGGCAATAATTGCAGATTTGAGAACCGAAAATTATATGTTTAATAACATTATTTTCTTTCTAAGCATTAACAACCTTTTATTTCATATGGCTTTTCTTTCAATACTGATGTTTCGAATTGTATCAATACGATTTATATGTAAGTGATTTGCTTGTGAAATCTTTAGAAGTTATTCCTATTCATAAACAATTAGGTTTCCATTTTATTTTAGTTTGTCTAATTATGAATCCTATAGTCTTTTGCTTTTGCTTATATATGCGTATAATTTTTTCAATGTAACCTATTTATGTGCTGATTCGTGTGTGTCTATTACTACTTCTTTTTGTTTCCTACTCTATTCTATCATCTACAAAAGTCGACATTCCTATGAATGATTTGATTCAGCAAGATGATTCATTATATGAACAATCAATGAATTAGGGTGTGGGTGGGTATGGGTGTGGGTGTGGGTGTGGGTGTGGGCGTGGGTGTGGGTGTCATTGCTCTCTTTACTCATACCCACACCCACACCGCACCCCACACCCACCCACACCCACCCCCCACACCCACACCCTCACACCCAAACCCACACCCCAGACAAATCATAGTTTACAAAACTATAAAGAACATCTAACAAATTTCTAGCTGTATTGATTTTTGAGACAATCACACGACTTGAAAACAAACATAAGCTATTTTTCCAAGATGAGAACTCGAGCATCGAATGGCCGTAAGTCCACTTTTAATGT